TTAGGTTTTGTGTGTGTTTTTACAACAGGTTTCTTGGATTCTATTCTATCTGGTTTACAGGGAAAAAAAAAATTGAATGAGATTATGAACAGAAGTATCTTAAATCTGTTTTGGTTTTATTCTGTTTATTTAAACTATGGTTTGTAGGATTGCTTAATAAAATACTTAAAAATTCATTGTTTTCAGGGATTTAAATTTGAAGGAACAAATTTGAATAGTTTATATTTACTGAAGTAGTGTAATTAATCTCTTTCATTTGAAAAATTGAATAAAATATTTTTAATAAATTAAATAAGATAAAAATCTTTTAAAAAGTAGTTCAAGTACTTATTTAATTTCATTGTCATTAAAGAAGTCATAAGTAGTTGGGATGTCCGCTTGCCTCTTGGAGTTTAACCATCACTCTCAACTCACGTAGTCAACAAAAAGGTAAAGAAAAATAAAAACCATATTTTACATTAATTCAAATATAATTTCCTCATTGTTTTACTCATAAAAGGGTTAAAAGCGAGACGCATGCATGATTTGAAGGTAAAAAGTGATGGAGCGTCAAAGTCTTGATCAAACTTTTTTCCATGAACAATACAAGTACTAGGGACACCCACCCACGGTCCAAAATCACATGTGGCTGTTTTTAATAAACACAGACAAACAGCCTTGTGACTGAGCCCGCGGCCCACACCACCATAACTATTTCTCGCCTTTTGCCTCAATTCATCATCAATAACACAAAATTATGCATGCAGCTCTCCCTCTCCAAGAGCTACTTGACATTACAAATAACATAAATGAGTTTGAGATTTGAGTTGATGTTTGGGGACGAAGATTATGGCTATGCACATGGGAAAGAAAGAGAGATTGTGTTCCTTCGTTGTCTTTTGAAATTGGTCCTACCACCCACATAGTAGAGGACTTAATCACATTTTCATCCCTAAGGTTTGGAGTAAGTATTATTTGGTCCAGTAAAATCTGAAAAGTTTATTACAGTACATGTTAGACTATTGCAATTAGAGAAGATTAAACAGTATAAATGTATATTTTTTATTTGGGTAATACTAACTCAATCTCACAAACTTTCTCTTACAACCTCAACGTAATAGCTTACAATTAGTCAGTTCGCAAATGATTCTTATCTACTCGCTATGGGTCCCGTCTACCTATTTACAAGCTGACTAATTACAAGTTGTCACGTCAAAGTTGTGAGAGAAAATTTATAAGATTGGATTGTGAGTCAATCTTTATCCTTTTTATTTTTTATTCTTTCTAATAAGACAAATAGAGGTATAATATAAATTTCAGTTTCAAAACATTAGCATAGTTCATAATTCCCTAGCTATAGTAGTGTGATAAGGAGTATATATAATGACATTTTCAGATTATACTAGGCCGAAACAATTTCTCCAAACTTCAAGGATGAAAATGTAATTTAACTCGATAGCAGTAAGAGAGAAGAGAATGGTAGCTGGATGTCACCAAACTTTAGTTCTGAATTGAATCGTGCTTCTCCAAAATTTACATTCTATGAAGGTGACAAGGGCACAAGGCCTTCTGATTTTCAATTTTATTACCAGAATAGAAGTTAAAATCACGCATAGGATCCATCTCTTTTTATATCAAACTCAACACTCCCAGAATATACACAACACACAACTAGCGCAACACGTGGCCATGCATTAAAACACGTACAGCTCATAACAGCACATGCATGGCAGGCTGATCATCATCATCATCATCGTCATGATAATGGAGGGTCCTGATGTACAAATAGAGGGTGGTAAAGATGGGGTCCATCATGTCTTGTAACTTGTAAGTAGTTGTTGTAGTGATGAAAACAGTAGGAACCAGATTACTACTATACACAATCGGTAGTGCTCCAGCAAGATGAGATGAGACCACTTTGATTTGACACCATTTTCTCCTTCATTGTTGATGCCACCAATGCTTTCCACATTTTAAGATTAATTAATTTTCATTAATATGGAGACATTGGGTGTTCGTGTTCTGCTAATGCTTAATGCACACGAGTGGCTAATTTACAAATTAATTACTAGATTTAGTTATTCTTAGATCTTGCCTTAATTTGAATTACTTACTGAGTAGAGTTATTAATTAACTCGGTGACTCATTGATTCCACGTCGTTTTTCCATGATTAAAGTTTTTTCTTTTTGGAGTGGTCAATTCTCCCATTATTTTCAAGTGATCACATCAGACGTGGCAATTTGTGTATAATTAAATCATTCATTTCAAATAATGGTACTTATTTAGGAACCAAGTGGGCACTAATTAATACTTGGTGGTATGTACTTTGTTTGTATCGGTTGCTGCCGGCGTGATTAATTAAGGAACAATGATCGAAGAGATTTAGAATTAATTAAGGGGATAGATCAGAAAAAAACTTTATATTATAATAATATTTAAATATCGTAATCACTGTTAGCACCGAGATTGGCATTTTCATATATTCAAATAATTAGTAGGTTTTACGTAATGGGACAACATGGTATTTCAATATTCAAATTTAATTAGGATCTTAATTAAAATAATTAAGGAATCTTATTGACTTCTATTTGAACGAGGAGTATTTGTATTGTATCAAGATGCAATGACAAATGGAAGAAGAGCAAAAATAAAATTAATATTGGGGAATTGCATGTGGATACAGACAACCATGTGAAGCTAGGATTAAGCAACAGATTTTATGTCTCTTCATTTTGACCATCTTCTTTGAAATCATTTTAGGTAATTGATTTGGAATAAATCAAGGGCTCTCTGGTGTGGTCACTATCTGAGAATTTAAACCGGCCAATTGATGTTGGAAGAGGTCAAAAACTTGTTGGTTTACCGTTGGATTTGTACTGAAGTTTGATTTAATTAACAAAATTAAGGAGGGACATGAGTTTATGGTTCTCCAGCTATTTTTGTATAAACAGAACAGAATCATGTTTACCATAATAATAATCTGAATGTTTGTTTACAGTTGTTCATGTTTTAACATTAATACTGATTGATGGGGTCGGACTAATTAACTATATTTGTAAAGAAAAAGAAAGAACCAACCAACCTCGACTAAGGCAAAGCCTTAGCCATCCCTCCGGCGGCATCAGAGAACAATTCTTCCATTATTTATACCAATCAAAATTCCTCCACACCTGAGAAACACTGAATCACCACTCTTGTATTATTCTTTTTTTTTTTTTAAAAATAAAAATATAAATTATAAATCTCAAGGTGAGAGATGCAGGGTTGTTGTTGGGGACCACCGAGATTAGGGAATCTGTCCAACGTGGCGTCACCACATGGCGATTGGATCAATGTGAAAGGAGGAGGTGTCATTGTGTCAGTACTATGGCTTTTGCCTCTGTTTCACTCCTTTTTTTTTATAAATATTGTACCTTAACGTCACCCCCGGATTTGGATGCCCAATAACGTCAATTTAACAAAATAATTTGCTGATATTAATCATAAAGATTTTTAATATCAAAGTGATATGCTTGTAAAGATCCTTTTATGCTGTTACAGTATTAAAAACAGTGCGGGATAAAAATGTCATTACGAATTTCATATTCTCAGGTGCTTTAATAGGTAGGTATCATAAAGAAATTTCCTTTATTTTTTATTACCAGATTTGGCATTGTCAAGTGTAAACACTAAACCACCGAAAGCTGAAGTTACTAAACTGATAGAAACTATTATTCGCCGTTATATTATCGTTAACGTCGTTGAGGTTAACGGTGTGATCTTTATTTTCCGTAACTTTTGATATGGGGTCCCACCAGGATGTTATGATAGTCCTAAAACCGATGTTGACGTCTGAATCTCCCCCCCTTTGATCTCATCTTCACCCATTTTGTGGGTCCCAATCAAAACATAATATAGTTCTTTGAGTTTTCAGGTTTTTCAGTTCTGACTCCTGCAGCGCGTGAAGAACAGATGCTCTGAAAAAGGAACCACAAGTCTTTTGATGGACACCAAGCATCATCATTATAGCGTCGGATTTTTACTTGCCATCATAGCGCGTTCTGATCTAAAGTTGACCATGATCCTCCCTCAGTCCCTCATGTGGTCATGTAAGAAGTAAAGCAGTTAAACTCACTCGAATTGTAGGAGCGTGGATGTCAGTTGCTGCTTTTTTGGTTGAGTTGATATCCAAAATCAAAATCATATATGAAAATAATTCTTGGATTGGGTTAAAATTTCTCTATTTTATTTTTGGTTCAAAACCTATAATTATTGATCAGGTAAAAGTTTTAATAACTACCTTTATTAATAACTGAAGAAAGATTCGAATTAAAATCTGAGTAATATACTCAAAAATTCATATCGAACATTTGATTTTATTTTTAGAATTTTAAGTATGATTTAATCAATCTAATATTTTTTTTTATATTCGATGAGTATATAAAAAATCACCTCCAAATCAAATCACATGTTCAATTTTTGACATAAAAATTTGACATTATACATATAAAAAAAATGAGATTTGAGAATTTTTTTTAATTTAAAAGTTGATTTTAGTGTAAACTTATAATAAATTGAAATCAATATAATAAAATTAAGGAAAAGAGAAGAGCGTGAAAAGTCGCAGGAAGAAAGAGCGACTGAGTAAGATAATTGTGATTGGCAGGTAGAGCCCACGTTTCATATTCAGTTCCCAAAAACGCTTAATTGGTAAAACGTAAGGCGACCGTCTGATTTTGTAATATGAGATGCAAGTCATGGATATATACGAGCTGTAGTTGTAGCTGCACCGTACATAATCAACATCTACAGCAACAGCAGCAGCAGCATCTTTTTTAGCATTGCGGTGCTGTTACGCCTCTCTTTTTATGCTTTTAAGTACTTGCCGGATCATATTTATATTTATTTTTTTACACCTTCCAAAAAACACTTATTTTTTTATCTTTCATAAAAGAAAAAAGATAATAACGTAACTTCATACCCCAAAAAAATATTCAATTAACTTTTCATTTATTTATTAAAGCATAGAAAAAAAATATATTGTTCCATTATTATGGCCTCCATTGTTCCTTATCTCTTCCACTCCCAGCTCTCCCTATTCCTTCATTGGACCTTCCACCCGTAGCTTCTCTTTTTCTTTATTATCATTTCTACGAAGAAAAAAATGCCTAAAACTCAACCAATTAAATCTTAATCATCACCTTCTATGTACAAAACTTAGCCTATTTCTTCGAGTTTGAGTTTTTAAGTTATCTTAATTCGATCGTTTGGAATCAAGAACCTTGAAAATCATGAAGAGGGATCATCAAGAAAGTTGTGTTGGTGGCACAGGCTGCGGTGTTGGTGGTGGTGCTGGGGGAAGCAATATCAAAGGTGAAAGTTCATCTAAGGCGAAGATGTGGGAAGATGAGCAGGATGCAGGAGGAATGGATGAGTTACTGGAGGTTTTGGGTTACAAGGTCCGGGCTTCAGACATGGCTGATGTGGCGCAGAAACTTGAACAGTTGGAGATGGTGATGGGCACTGCTCAAGAAGATGGGATTTCGCATCTCGCCACTGACACTGTTCATTACAATCCCTCCGATCTCTCTGGTTGGGTTGAGAGTATGCTATCAGAACTCAATAACACTACTTTTGATACACAACCTCGCCCAACTCAAGATCCCGCCCAATCTTCCACCTTCAACCCAATACAACAGACTTCCAATCCATCAAGAGTCTTCAACGATGATTCCGAGTACGATCTCAGAGCAATCCCCGGCGTTGCAGCGTACCCACCACAACCCGATACAGAAACCGAAAACAACCGCAACAAGCGGATTAAAACCTCGATTTGCCCTAAAAGAGCATCAGGTAGCGGACTTTCTGGTTCAATTCCTGAGTCAACTCGTCCCCTGGTGGTGGTTGATTCGCAAGAAGCGGGGGTTCAACTCGTCCACACACTTTTAGCATGTGCAGAAGCAATTCAGCAAGATAATTTGAAACTGGCTGACGCGCTCGTGAAGCACATAGGATTACTCGCGGCATCGCAGGCAGGCGCTATGAGAAAAGTTGCCACCTATTTCGCCGAGGCTTTAGCGAGGAGAATCTACCGAATTTACCCTCAAGATGCTCTTGAATCATCCTACAACGACATCCTTCAGATGCACTTCTACGAGACCTGCCCGTACCTAAAGTTCGCTCATTTCACGGCTAATCAGGCTATTCTCGAAGCCTTTGCCACCGCTAATCGAGTCCACGTCATCGATTTCAGTCTTAAACAAGGTATGCAATGGCCCGCTCTAATGCAAGCTCTAGCATTAAGGCCCGGTGGCCCGCCAGCTTTCCGTTTGACGGGCATCGGTCCACCTCAGCCCGACAACACCGACGCCTTGCAACAAGTGGGATGGAAGCTGGCCCAATTAGCCGAAACCATTGGCGTTGAATTTGAATTCCGCGGATTCGTTGCCAACAGCTTGGCCGATCTTGAACCTGAAATGCTCGATGTACGACCCGAAGTTGAAACCGTCGCGGTTAACTCCGTCTTTGAACTTCATCGTCTCTTGGCTCGTCCCGGTGGGATCGAAAAGGTTGTGTCTTCTATTAAAGCGATGAAGCCTAAGATTATTACAATCGTTGAACAGGAAGCTAATCACAACAGTCCCGTTTTTCTTGATCGGTTCACTGAAGCTTTGCATTATTACTCGAGTTTGTTTGACTCGTTGGAAGGTTCTTCTGTGGCCCCGGCGAGTCAAGATTTGGTGATGTCCGAGGTGTATTTAGGGAGACAAATTTGCAATGTTGTGGCTTGCGAAGGTTCTGATAGAACAGAGAGACACGAGACGTTGACTCAGTGGCGAACTCGGTTGACATCGTCCGGGTTTGACCCGGTTCATCTGGGTTCGAATGCGTTTAAACAGGCGAGTATGCTGTTGGCGTTGTTTGCGGGTGGCGACGGATACAGAGTGGAGGAGAACAACGGTTGTTTAATGCTTGGGTGGCATACGCGGTCGCTCATCACCACCTCGGCGTGGCAACTGGCTTCTAGTGAGTCGTAATAGTGAGTTAAGTCCAACTCAAATCAGTAGGTTGGTGGGAATGTGTATTGTTGTTTAGTAAAAACTGAGTTGAGGATGCGAGTGAGTGAGAATCGAGGATGAATTGAACAGAACCAATCTAAGTGTGTAATTTAGTTTTTTTTTTTTTTTTTTTTTTAAATTAAATCTTTTAGTTAATTTTTAAAAAAACTGTTTTGAATTATGTTTAATATGGTTGGATGGCCTCTTCAGTGTAATTTTCCTATGGTTTTCGAGATGGAATCATGTGTATGTATGTTTAATAAAAATGGGAACCATAGTTCTCAACAATGAATGGGTTTTAATTTTCTAATTATTATAATTTTTAATTAAGAATTTTCTTTGCTTGTTTGTTTGATAAATGTTTATGAAAAACTTAGCAAAAGCCTTACCACAAATGTTTTAATCTATTTTCTTTGCTTCTTTGTTTGATAAATATTTCTGAGCCCACTATTTGACATGAAGATGTTTGGTAATGATTCCAATATATTTTCTAAAATATTTTATGTAATTTCAGATCTGATATCTAATTTTATAGATTTAGTTACATTATTAAATTTGATTTTATATAGATTTATTTTTTCTCTTTCAAATGTTAATTTTTTTTTAATAGAAAAAAAAAATTGTTACTGCTTTGATTGATAAGATTTATACAGAATTATATAAGCACACATAAAGAAAATTCTTTTTTTTTTTTGTTTTTTTTTTTTTTGTTTTGATGACCTAGGGTGTTTGAGTCCGTTTACGAATATCTCAATTAATTTCCTGAAGCTTTAGAATTATTGTCCGAGTAAAAGCTTCAATGGCTATTACTATTAGCAATTAAGGAGAGACTCGAATTTAGGACCTTTTGGGTAATACATCCAAAAGTCTATATCGAACAGCTCTGGCCACCTAAAGATAGTTAAAAAAAGAAAATTCCACTCTTAATATAAATATTTGTATATTGAATGCCTTGAAGACAATACATATCATGAAAGCAAGATCAAGATGATCAAATAGAAAGGAAAATAAAGGTACTTGTTTTTCAAATGGTAGAGATTATATTTATAATATATTATATTTTATTAAAATTCAAATTATAAGTATATAGTAATATTTATAGAGTACTACACTTACAACACAATCTCATAAACTTTCTCTCATAATTCTAATATGACAACTCGGAAACTTTCTCATAGTAATTTGTCAATCTGGCCTTTTACGGTCAGATCGATGCATGACTAGTTAGATTCGATCGGTCTGTGTCGTAAAATCAGAATCCGACTAGATTCTGACGGTGATGGTCAAAATTTGGCATTGTGGGTAGATGGGGTGTTTTTGTTATTTTACAAAATTTTGATATATTATGGTGCTTAGTTAAATTAGCAAGCCTATAGGTTTTTTTTTTTTTTTTTTTTAAATTTTACCTCGTAATAATCATCTTATTCAATTACCCAATATTATTTCCAAAATCTTATCTAAAATAACAAGCTAAACGGACCCTAAATATTCCAAAATAGAGCGGAAATCGTGGGAGAATAATAAGTTAAGTTTATTTAGTATTATTATGAATAAGAGCATAAGAATATACGATTTTGAAGAGCAATCATTTGCTGACCTTGACAACAAGTTTCTTATTTTCTTTTTCCATATCATATCTTCAATTATACACCTCAAATACAAATAATAAATACACATTTAATGTAATAACTCCATCAATTTCTTCTATGCTGTCAACTGTAAAATTCCCTCTCGAAATCCAAAATTAATATATACAAAACCAAGGGAATTTCTAATACAAAGCATTTTCATGTATCTTATAAATCAAATTTCTATGTTTCGGGTTAATTTGATCATATAATATATTAAATAAATAAGCATACCTATTTAATTATTAATAAATGAATCATGTTAATGAGCTATCATGATCAATTAATTAATTAAATTCAACCTATGACATCTTTTTTAATACAAATATTAAGTCAATATCTAATTTTTTTTTTTTTTTGGTTTTTTTTAAAAGGAAATTTGTCCTCTCTTTTCTATCCATTTTACTTATATATGAATGACACATGTTTAATTTGATGAAAGGAAAAACAATTAATGATGAAAATATAAAAGGAAAGATAAGCTTATCTGGTGGACTGTTAAATTAATTATGAAGATGGTAGGGATGAAGTCAAGGTAAGTAATAATTAATTAAGTAGGTAAACCCGTAAAGTTAACAATAGTATTAAGGTTTATCCACAATTTATTATAGGTCGGGAATTTTGGCTTCAATTATTTTACTTCATTAACTCAATAAATTTATAAGGTTGGTATGTAAGAATCATGGTCATATAATTAATGAATTTATTTTAAATGAAATGGAGCTTTCATATCAGAGTAAGATTCCTGCTAACCATTAAGAAGTTGCCAGGTGGCAATGGATTTTTGATAAGTTGAACAAATTCTCACTTATTTAATTTAATCTTATCTTAATCTTTCTTACCTAATAATTCATTGGTCACCCCATCTATATCTTACAATTTTATGGTGTTTGAAATATTAGAAATTGACTAATGCCTCTAGAATTTTCTATATCACATCATTTATAAATATAAATCATATATAGGAAAAGATATTTGATGATGTTGAGATTGAGGATGTCCACTAAGAAGCACTAGCAAAGAGAGGTTCTTTACAGTCCACATATTCAAGTGGAAGTACTTTTCAAAAGCTATTAAAACACTTTCTCTCTTCACCAATCGTCAAAGCACTTTTGATCAAAGGATTGGATCATTTTTGTACCAATTCCTCTGCAATCGGAAAGTTTCTAATCATTTCAAATTACTCCATTTTTCTCACCACATTTTGCCATTGGAAGAAGTTTTTTGAATATTATTTAAGTACCTAAGATCATTGACTTTTGAATCGACTAATTCAGTAATTAATCATTTCATGGACTGGACTCACTAATTAAGCTGTCCTTTTACATGTTTAATTTTTTATTTATTCAATATTTGTTTCCTTTATGCTCTGGAGCCTCGCATTTTGGATATGGGCTTTTTTTTTTTGTTATTTTTTAAATGAAAGAGAGTGTTAGAGTAAACTTACGTGTATTTCAACTAATATCTTGGGACTCTTACAGTATTGGTTAGATAAGAACTCCAATGACTACCGTTATTAGCAATTAAGGAGAGATAAGAACTCCAATGACTACCGTTATTAGCAACTAAAGAGGGACTTGAACTTAGGACTTCTTGAGTAATATACTTAAGAGTCTTTATAAATTATCGAACCACTCGACCACCCAGAGGTAGTTTTTTTAGATATAGACTTTCTTTTTTTAGATTTTTTATTTTTTTTTAAGAAATTCAGGATGTTTGGACCAGTTTGCACACACCTCAACTAATACCCGAGACTTATTAAACACCCTACATGTCCAATATTCTAAATAAGCCACAAATGTGATAGGTAACCATAAAGTGGTTTAAACTTAGGAAGTCAATAAAAAAAAGTAAACTTTCTTGACCATCAGGCCAATCCCTAGGGGTTTTAAAAATTTATGTTGAAGTTAAATAATTGCTCAAGATTTGGCAAACCTAAACCTAAATTCATGGAATCTCAAATGTTTACGAAAAGCTTTTGGACTGAATTTTGTATATGTGGATTAGGGGGCACGTAACAGGAAATATTATTGTTCAACAACAAAACGTAAGTGAGAGTTGTCAATTATTGGAGAAGACAAATAGGCTACGAGGCCTCATTAGCCCAATTCTTAGTGGCTTTCTTTCAACTACTGCTATGAATTATTTGTGACATTATTAATACACTAAAACAGATTCTATTTCCGTCTTTTACAATAATAAACGTTAATATTTAGAGTAAAAATGGCTGTGTAAAATAAGTAATCCTTTGAAACTTTATAAAATTTGAAAGCAACAATAATAACGGATTATATTTATATGTTCCTATAAGAATTTCCATTCAGATATTTCTCAGTATCTAATTGTTAATAATATTGTCTAGTTTCATTCAGTTAAGCTTTTAATAAAATGATTTATTGATGGTGTTATATGATAAAAAAATTCAATTTTAAAATTTTAATGATTGGTTTAAAAAAAAGACTTTATTAAGTGTATATAACCTCTAAAAAAAGAAGGCAAAAAATCTTAATATCCATTAAAAAAAAAAAAAAAAAAAAGTTACTGCCAATGGCTTCTGCAAGCACCCTAATGGGTTTCAATGTACAAGTTTGCAAATTTATTAGCTCTAAACTTATTTTTTTTTATGTCAAAGATGTTAAGTTATTAGTTAATTGTCTTATAAATAAGTAAAAATAAATTTATCTAGCTTCGGGTGAAGTAAATTATTAACACAACCGCAGCAAGGAAGAAGAGGTCGAATGCTCCAAACATTTTTTGCTCAATACACTATTTATGAGATGCTTAAAAGTTAATAGAATCAATGAGTGCATAGAACATATATTTAAAAACATTAGTTGCAGAATTCTGTGAAAGGATATGTTTATTTTGTATGGTAGAAGACTGAATCCCTGCAGAAAAAACTGAAACTTTGCAATACCACCTCCTCTCATAATTATTAAACTTTGTATTGCAGCATCAACCTACTTTCAACTAAAGAATTTGTTTTATTGATGCAATATCTAACTCCAACTTTTTTCAAATGGAATAACTCTTAAATATTTCTCCAATTGAATTTAAGCCTCTATTTTCATAAAGTCATCTAGATATAAACATATTATATATTCTTATTCCATGAGAAAAGCAACTAAACTTTTTCTTTAACTGCCCACCGTCCCCAGTTACACCAAGCAATCCACAAATAATAAAATTAAACAGGAAGTGAAAAGGAGAACATAGAATAAGAAAGATCGACACAAACAGAAGAAGTAGATGCATGCCATTCCATTCCAATGTACAAAAGGCAAATTACATGGCTTATTCTGTCGTAAATCACATAGACATAGCGTTTAAGTTTTTCTGATAGAATAAGTCGTTTATGGGGATGATAATGAAGATTATCATGTGTGAAATGAAAGTTATGGAGTAACTAACCTCAATCTCAATGAGGTAGTATTTTAAAACTAAGAGATTTATTGAGCCATGCCTTCCACCCATGTCCCTTTTGATTAATCATCTTTGACCTCCCTTCTGTCATCTGTGGCTGCATCTGTTTCTTGCACAGCACAAAGTTTCTAATTCCCCCTCCAGATCCTATCGCTTCCATTGGACCTAAAGCTAAACAACAAACCAAAACATACCCATAACAAATAAATAATAATTCATCATGATCTTGGAAAGACCTAAAATATTGTATAATTGTAACATTCCGTCCACTATCAGAAAATTGTCATTAGTGGAGGCTCAGAGTCCCACCCCTTCATTCGAACACATGACTTTATATTGGAAATGAATAAAGAATATTATCAAAATTTTCTGGGTCGGGATGTAACAATAATACTTGCGTCAGAAAAGGAAATTGAAAGCAAATATTGATATGTACCATCTGATCCTCCATTGGCGCAGTAGAGAAGAAAGTTATTGACATCGAAGCCGAGAACCGGAAGGCGGCCTTCACGGGCGTAAGACTTCAAGGCAGTCTCAATAACAGCGGCTACAAGATCCTCTTCATTCACCACAAACCTGATGGGTCCTGCACTACCAAGAACGTTGATAGTAATCAAGAATCTATTTTTCTTCCCTGCAGTGTTATTATTATGATCATTACTCTTCTTCTTGTCCAAAGGCAACGTCGTTTTCTCAATCACATTCATCTTCTTCATTGTTGATTTTTTATTTCTTCCCTTCGGTGTAATACATGTGAAAGACGTAATAAGTTCTCCAGAAATTTAGAAAAAAACTGAGGTGTTAATTAAACAGAGAATAAAACAAAAAAGAAAAAGGTTCAAGGGTCAAGGCCGAGGCAGCGATAATACCAGGCTTCTTTGCGAGAACCAAAAGAAGGAAAGGGGGAGGACAACGCGTGTAGCAAACGCGCGGTTGCCCTATAAGAGGAGAGACAGATCATGAAAGAATAAGATGTGTGTTCAACCATTCAAAGAGTTGATGAATGAAGATGCGAACTAGGGTTTTTTATTAACGAAGAAGAAGAAGAAGAATATGGAGATGCTGAAGGTCGGAAACACTAGGCTGGCTTTTGGCTTTTTATCCTATTATTCTTCCTTTATATGTTTTTAGGCTTCAATTATTTTGGCTTATATGGACACCTGTATGTGTTTTAGCGGCTCCATGTAGGGCAGGTTACGGTTGCATTTCCTAATTTTGCTCTTTCATAAACTGGTAATTTAATTAATTGTATTGTTTAAATAATTATTTCATCTTTTTAATAAGATTTATTTATAACAAATTAAAAAAATTATTGAATGTTATTGTTTTTAAATAAATGATTACAACCTAAATTATTAATTTAAGTCATTCAGGCATTTAAAGGCATCTATGTTTATGATTTAACAGTGATTTATTTTGTTCAATTGTAATCTGATAGTATTAGAATGGAAGTCAAAATTATCCTATTTTATGTGGCGTTCAGAGGTAGCGTACAGTGCATGATAAAGTTGTGTTCAAATGGCTAAAACGAAATTCGCTTCTCTTGTTAAAAAAGTTGCAGTGCTTAACTTGCAGATGGAGAACACTCAGAAGAGGAAAAGGACTCTGACGTTGCAATTGCGTGACATCAGCTTCACGCTTTGAATATTTACTATTTATATTTATTTAAGGTTATAACCGTAAAAGTTACTAGACTTAAAGAATATCCAGTCTTGTGATTTTAGCTTATTAACTTAAAAGGGTTTATTTATAATTTGAAGGGTCCATTTAAATTATCAACAGTCTATTGATTTTAATATTCGACCGCCAATCCACTCCTCAACTGCCACGTTTCGCATTCTTGTCTCTACAATTTGAGCCATACCTTTTTCCTTTGGTATTGCAAAACTGTCACTGACATGAGGCGCCCTATAGAATAATATTATACTAACAACTTTTTCTCATCAAATTTATTTTATAACTGGTGAATGATCGCTCATAATTAGTTAGTTCATGACAGATCTCACATAAATCCTGTATAAATCTCGTTAATTAATTACGAACTGACTATTATAGTAAACTTTTATCTTACCATAGAAAGTTAAGAGGACAGAAATTTGAACGATGCATCATTGGCATGATAACTGTATAATCCGTCGAATTATCATGAATCATCAAAGCAACGGACTAATTACGAGCTATCGCATAAAAATTGAAAGAAAAAGTTGATGAAAATTGGTTATTAATGTAATACTACCCGCTGAGATAATATTTATTATACACAAAAAAGAAGAAACAACCTCCACAACATAACAACATCACAGGTACTATACTTTCCTTCCGTTGAAAAGAAGAGGTGCGAAACATGGCGGCTGGAGAGTGCAGATACAGCTACTATCATTATACGTATATAATTTCAATCTAATATTGTATAGTATATATCACTTCCCTGAATAAGATAGTGATGGCCAAACAAATATTTAATTATAATTTGTTCAAAAACCAAGGCTTCGTTTGTTTCGTTTTTAAGAATATTATTATTAATATTTTCAAAAAATTAAACAGTAAAAATACTGCATGTTTGGCTAACTATTTTTATCTGTATTTAGACCGGATTTTTGAAATGCTGTTTGTTTATATTTACAGAATGGCTACCCTGATAATGGAATCCGACACTATCCGACATGTGTGTTACAGTTTGTTTTTTTTTTTTTTTTTTTCACTGCATCCTCACTGTTGACCATTTCACTTTCTCAGTATACTGCATCCTCACTACCAGCTTGTGCTTCAGTTCTCAATCACATAACCGTTTTCAGTGCTTCACTTTCAATATCCATCACCACCATTTCAGTTTCTGATAATCCATTACCAGGTCGGTGCTTCACTTCCAGTTTGCATTACCACCATCTCCCTTTCTAGTTTCCAGTACCAGCACGTGAACCCCAATGCCCTCTGTCACAAACCACATTCTAACCCACATAGAACCCACCGTCAACCCGGAAACCAGACCCCGAGCCCCCAGCACCACCACGACCCAACCCAGCCCACTGAGCCACCACGCACCCACCCCGAGCCACCACGCACCCGATCTACCCCACACAAGCCCCCGAGCCACCACGACCGAGATCTACCCCAACCCAGCCCACCCGAGCCACCACGCACCCACCCGAGCCACCACGCACCGATCTACCCCACACAAGCCCACTCGAGCCCCCACGCACCACCAGACCCCAACCCAGCCCACCCGAGCCACCACGCACCCACCCCGAGCCACCACGCACCACCGAGCCACCACGCACCCGATCTACCCCCACACAAGCCCCACCGAGCCCCAAGCACCACCACGACCCCAACCCAGCCCACCGAGCCACCACGACCCACCCTGAGCCACCACGCACCGATCTAACCCACACAAGCCCACCGAGCCCCACGCACCACCACGACACCCAACCCAGCCCACCCGAGCACCACGCACCCACCCCGAGCCACCACGCCACCGATCTACCCACACAAGCCCACCCGAGCCCCCACGCCCACCATGACCCAACACCAGCCCACCGAGCCACCACGCACCCACTGAGCCACCACGATCGGATCAAACCCACACCCCAATCTCCATCAAACCACTCAATCTGCGTAAAGACACCCACCGTCAGTAGTTGCATTTTGACTGATTTTTTTTTTGAAAAGAACATTCTTGTTTGTGGAAAATGTGTCCAATAATAAACAAACCCACCTTATATGTATTAAAGCATGGGTTTTTCCGGCTTTATTGTTTTAATGGGGTTTTTTCGGCAATTATTGTTTTATTTGGGTTTTGTTTTAATTCAGTTTTATTTTAGGCAATTGGCATATAATTGTTTTAATTGGGTTTTTATTTTATTCGGCAATTGGCACAGAATTGTTTTAATTGGGTTTTTTTGTTTGTTTGACAGCTTTTAATCGTGTACACACGGATCCATTTAATTGTATTTGGATGTTTATCTGACTCAGAGAAGGGAAAGAAACCCGACGTATCCAAATCAAGTTGTAAGTTTCGTTACCTATTTGTTTTCAAGACACCGAGCCGTACTATTTTTCAATTTTTTTTTGGAAATAATTTGTATTAGTACTTTTTTCTTTTCATTAATCCTTTTAATTTGGACTTTAAATGCGTTTTGTATTTGGTTAACTGAAATATTTTATTCCGGTTTCACTAATTGATTTATTTGTTCTATAGATTGACAATGTTCTTTAATCGTAACAGAAATTACGCTCATATGCATAGATGTCAGCATAATTTATCTCGACGGGCAGGATTGTATATTACTTGCAACAGAGGCGAAAGTTTCGACGTTTTTCCAGAGTTGGAGTTCGTCATACACCCTTTGGTCGACAGTGTCGTATCTTCCCTGCATTGACGTCTTCAAGCAGTGTCGAATCGAACGAGGTATACTTTATATGGTTTAGTTGATTACGTTAACATGTGAGTATTATATTGTGTAATGTGCGGTGATTCGTATGGTGCCCAATGTTGGTTGTCCCTCACCGTACTGTCCTTAGATGGGTGATTTATGGCTTGGTCTGCTGAGAGACCCACAGATTTCTGGTCCTGTTATCTGAGCGGGCCAAAACTTCACATGGTACTGCAATAAAAACAGCTGATTACAAAATGTTGGACGACATATCATTGGCTGCCAGGAGACTCAACGTGACGCAATTAGCCTCTAAGTTCTTTCGCCTGCGAAAACTTTATCAAGCATGGTGGAAATTGTGCAACACACAGGATTCGGGTGGGATCAGGAGTCACAAAGTCCAACGTGTCCCGTTGAGGTTTGGCAAGAATATGTCAAGGTAAATTATCATATTTTTAACTATTATTATTCAAAGTCATTGTAAATATATGCATTTTTTCGGACTGCTAAATATTAATTATTATTCGTTTAACTATTAGCAAAACCCACTGGCGCAACAAATTTACCACAAGGGACTTCCCCACAAGGAACTTTATGAAATAATATTTGAGAGCAAACTGCCACTGGAAGATATGCGTACACATCTACATCCAACAGGTGGAGCCCTCCAGTTATTCCAATCCCGGCTCGGTTCCTATGGAAGATAGCGACTTTGAACCTGATCCTGATTGGTGACAGGGGAAAAATGGCCAAACACATCTGGTCATGGAGGAGCAAGAAATCGGAGGCATAGAAAGGGGCCCGGACATACAATTGCGGATGCCATTTTTAGCTGACGGATGAGCTGCGGAAAAGCGGACAATGGGATCCAGGGCTTTCGATCGTAGTGGAGATGTGAGGGAAAAAGCGAACACCCATGCTCCATGATCCTTTCTCCATGAGCCATGTATTGACATCATGACGGCCATGCAAGTACTGACACAGTTTTATCTGACGGCTTCACGTACTTATATGAAAATCCAGGGTGGCGGGAGATATTGTGAAACTCCCACTGGAGGAAAAGGCTAACTGGATTCACAAACTTTTTTCCAATAATTCGTAGATGACACTATATTTCATAATTGTTTGGCAACAATTTGTATGCCTCAGTGGGCAGTTGTCATTACATTACAATTTATAACGCTACTGTATGAACTTATTATGTGATATTGTAATGTGTAAACACTGTTTTAGATTGTCATACAATTAAATATGACTGTTATATTTTTCAAAGTAGTACAACAACTGCTAATTGTTGATAAATGTTTTGCAAATGTGTAGGTTTAAATGGCGTCGTCTAGCCGTACAGGAAGAATACAACGGTGCTACAGATGAGAGGGACGAAGAAGAAATACTGACAGATATAGCCATTGCACTATGTGGTGTTGCCGCGTTAGAAGCAAGTCGACCTCAACCACAACACAATCTGTATTAACTGGTCATCAGTACATGTTGGAAGTACTCAACGGTCATCTGACAGGATCTATGACAAGTGCTACATGGACAGAGACTGTTTTACATTGTTATGTGAATTTTTGTCCGATCAAGGCAAATTGCAACCAACCAGGAGGAGAGTTAGAAGAACAAGTTATGATATTTCTAACAATCGTTGGAAAAAATGAGACAATCAGAATGATGATGGAGGATTTCCAACATTCGGGTGAGACGATCTCTAGACATGTTACCGCAGTTTGCGATGCTAATGTGAGTTGAAGACAGAGTATCAGAACCACCTGACTTCAATGATGTTTCATGGGAAATATCAGCCAACAGAAAATATTACCCTTTCTTTAAGGTACTGGTTCATTATGTTTGGTATTAGTAGATAGTTAAGTTCATTGTGTATTAATTTTTTAGTAGGTTAATATTAGTGAAATGACTCATTTTCATGTAGGACTGTATTGGAGCTATAGATGGCACACATGTATACGCTTCGGTTCCACGTGAATTTGCCATTAGGACCGGAATCGCAAGGGATGATGTCACAGATATAATGGCTATATGCGACTTTAACATGATGTTCACTTATGTCGTTACTGGATGGGAAGGATCAGCGCATGATTCAGAGTTTAAATTCAATTATTGATTACTAATTTGGATTCTCATATCCTCACCAGGTATAAGTATTTTCTTGACGTATTACAGCGTATTACATCCACTGTTGAGGCTCTGTAATTCAAATACAATGGGATATTATTACAGGGAAATACTATTTGGTTGATGCGGGTTATGCAAATAGGGATGGGTTCTCGCCCTCATAGGCAAGTGGTTACCATATTTCTGATCACCGCCGTAACCGAAGGGGGCCACAAGAGTTGTTTAATTACAGACATGCTTCACTCCGCATGTTATCGAGAGAACCTTGGTGTTTTGAAAAAACGGTTCCGTATTCTAAAGGAAGAACAATTATCCGTTGGACAAACAAGGGAAGATTGTCATGGCATGTTGTGTACTTCAAATTTTATAAGAATGTGCAATATGGACGACCGTATCTTCGAACAAACCAATAATAGTACGGGTAATGGCAAGCAATTGTGATCATCAAAACGGGGCAGAAATGGCCGAAAGGAGAAGGATCGAGTCAACCGCAACAAGGTATTATAGACAACATGATGACTGTACGGGATAACATAACGAATGCACGTGGGTAGCACAGTGGACCATGTCATAATTGTTAATGGAGTATACGTGTAATAATGATTGTAAGGGTTGATAATTAGTATTTTATCATATATGTTTAATGTGATGTTTTTAAACAGGTGGATTACTACTTGAAATTAATATGGGTTTTTGTTTTTTAATATATACGGGTAACAAAATTACCAATAAAATATTTAGTATTATTAAAATGTGAGGTGATAAGTAATATATAATATACATTATTTTAACAAAATATATAAAATATTATATTAATAAATCATTTATAACAAATATATTAATCAAATATTTAACACAAATATAAAGGTTCAAAATACTCTACCAAACACATATTCTGAAAATCATATTCTCGTAATCATAACCATATCCAACTATCCAATACTATCCAAAATACTAAACCAAACGCACCCATCATTATTCTCAAAATATTATTCTATATTTTTTAATATCTTTTAAACTTCTTAAATTTGTTACTTTAACTAAACACCTCCAAATATTTTTTTTAGAAATTGTAAAAACACTCCAACCACCCTCCGATGGTGGTGGCTGACTATCCGTATTTAATGGGTGGGTTAAAAGTGTTTTTGTTAACTTTTAATATTTTATTATAAGGGTGTTTAGTAAATAAACAAACATATAAGATATTTTTATTAATTTTTAAATCTTACATCGTAATACCCGCCCAATTTAACTTTTTTCAAAAGATTATTCAAAAAACTATCAGAATAATGAACCAAACGGAGTCTAGATCTCGGTCTACAATCCCAGCACACTGTACGGCTCCCAATATTTTATAGAATACATATTTGGTTTATAATTTAGAAAAGAATGTATGAATTTATTGCTAATAAATTATTTTAATATCATGTTTGTGATACTGATACACTCAAAACTATACAACAAGAACTTTAAACAAAATACTATTTCAGAAAAAAAAAGTGAACCCGTGTGATTTCCAAATTCACTAATTGCCAAATGGCAAAACCATTTCATAAGCTATTGAGTTGACTCATTATTTTAATCTCTTGGCAAGAGTGTTGAAATGTTTAAACTACAAATTCTCTTCATCAAAACATGTAGCCAATACCGGTAATATCATGAATTGATGCTCAGATAAGTTGAACCAAACAATGTTGAATTGCTGACAATAGTTTTACGGATGCATAAATAACTTATAGTAAATAAATCTATTTGTGAAACGTACAGATGAATGGATGGACCTTTTTTTGCCACATAAAAGTTCAAATAGGATGAACCTTTGCTTTGTAAGTACTCACAATAACATCACAAGTTACAGAACAACATAAAAATTAGAACCTAGATGGATACCCTTTCGGAAATGCTGTCTATATTTGCAAGCTACGCAGTAGAAAGTAGAAACCCCTAAAATAGTTGGAATACAAACTAAGCAAGGTGAGACGTATATGGACCAGGACTAATAAGACTGGAACAGGATTTATACGGAACAAAAGTTTGCAGAAGTTGAATCAGGTTGGTTGCTACTTAAAACTATTAAACAGATTAAAAAAACTAGGAGGAATAGATTAAGTGAAAGAAGCTCATACTGGAAATGCAGGTTGCTCTATACGTACAAATATAACTGGAACTGCAGACCTGGAGCTACTCCACAATTAGTAAATTATTCTTCATTAATCCTTCACCGACTGTTGGAAATTCTGGTGATAGATGCCACTCCCCGTCAACCAGGAACTTAATTTCATACCTTCACATAAATTTGTGGGTTAGATGAGTTAACAAGTTTAGTTTTTAAATAATTCTTTCACAGTGAACCAATACAAAAGATTCATACCTTCCAGGTCTAAGCATTAATGTAGTCGAGAACCTTGTAAAAGAACCATCATACTCTGGAGATAAGTATCCCCCTTGACTCCAGCCATCAAAGGTGCCCATTACTTGAACACTCTAATATCATACGAGGCAAAACATATTCATTACAATTATTCCCAAAAAGTTACAATCCACCATATAACTTCGAAATTTTCATAACAAACTCAAGGCTTTGACACATGATTCATCTGGCATATAAAAAGCAAAGATTGGTTCTTCAAAATGGTATCATCCTCAGGGAAAAAATAATAATAATGCAGGGCTAAAGAGATGCTAACAACAATCAACTGCAATAAAATAAATCCTTGAGTCCAGAAGATTAATCTAAGAATGTATACATCTAGCATAATGGAATTTTTATCAATGCCATAAAACCCAAATAAATGCAAATCTCAACTGCCAGCTTTTACATTGATGCTGAATCAATGTTCAATATTGAGAAATGAGAAAATCTAGTTTAAAATATGGCAGACGAATTCAGAAGGGCTTAAAATTGAAATATCATAATTACAAGGTATGCTTAAATGTTTTGGTCTACAATACTCTTTCATAACTATAAACATAAGAGAAAAAACAATATTAAGAATAATCATAAGAACTTCAACAAATTTTCTATCGCTTTTAAACATGATTTTTTATTGATATTTTCATCTTTATAGACTAGCTTCATCTACCATATAGTGATTTGTTAAAAAATATTTCGTGAATCATTTGTTTTCACATTGATAGATATTTATTTACTCATTGATTCCCTTACATGGAATATAACTAGATGATTGATTAAAGCTCCTAATATTGACAATTTGTTTAACCAGAAGACCAAACAATAAGCAATCAGTCAATCACCATCGAACTTATAAGTTCTCTTATAACTTTACATCACATTACCTAAAAGTAGTATTTGCATAAGTAAAAAACAGGATTGTTACAACATGTATAGACCTCTTTAGTGTATATAACTGAAGTTTAATGATTCATACTATCAAAAAAACTCAAACTTAATTACTTATTACATAAGAGTTACAAATTATGCTAATGTAAGACCCATAAAATGGCAGGTGCATAAGCTGGAAGTGATGAAAGACTCAGGTAGATGTGCATTATTTACGAAATCCACAATGCTGGTGTGAATCAATCTACACTATCTAGTCACTCGTGCTTGACAGTCTGAGACATGTACATTTTGCACCAGATAGTGACCTTTATGCCATGAATTTTATTAAAAATAAATGAATAAATTAAAAAAATAGAGCAGTCAGTGTTTGATATGTCCAAACAACTGTAAAACAGTAAAACAAATAAGCTTAAGCTTATTTTGACACGATTTTGATCAAAATCTTGTTCTACGTCAAGTTAAAAACAAAGACAATTCTACTAACCTTCATTATGCAGTCAAGAACAAAATCAATTGAAATGTATGACAAGAAAAATCAATGCCACACAAGGTAAACTGGCTAAAAATAAATCTACAGCAGAACAATTAATTATGCATACAAAGGATGCAGGCAAGATCACAAAAACTTAGTATTTCATTTTGTGTTATATCGTAGAGAGTGGTAATGAATGAATAATGACATAAGAGTGCAAGGAAACAACAGGCAGCCTGATAATTGCTTCATGTATTTTTGCTGCCTCAGTAGTTGCATTCCATTTGTAATTTTACTAAGATACTTCTCAGAGAAAATATTCATGTGCATGATATGGCAATGCACATCTAGCCCTAAACATGATGCAGACACTTGAGTTGATCATAAATCCAAGATAAACTTCCAGCATTCAGCACTTTGGACATGACTTTGCTCTCAAATGCTAATTTTTAATCCATAAACTTTGGTCAACTATGATATGTCAAGACGGTAAAATCAAGCAAAATAATCCACAAAACAATTCTTGAGTTAAGGAAATTCAATAGCGTATAAGTGCACTTTTTTGCATGTTTACCTCTGCCATGCCACACCAAAATAATGGGACTTCCTTGGACTGTGCAGTATCAACATCCTTAATCTGCTCCTTCACTTTCTCATGTACAGCTTTACACCACAAGAAAGTTGGCAGCAGTACTTTTATTAGAAACAATATGGGAAAAATACATCTAAGAAGTTTTAAAATTGCCATCATGTCTAAGAAGAAATACAAAAGGCCAATGGAAGAGTCTTCAGATCCTGCAATTAGAGATTTCTTTTTATATTTTCCCACTTAAATTTGTTAGACTATTGATGTCAAATATACAGGAGCATTAGCAGAAATGGACAAGACTCTGTTGGACAAAATATATCAATCTAGACAAATGTGGCTAATAGTACCTTCTAACCGTGAAAGTAGGTGAGATTGAATGAACTTTCCATTGATCCTTCTAGAACCTTCTGGAATGCTTGATTGAGCTATTTCTTCTGCCAAGGAGACTAATGCCTGCCCACAGAAAACAAAAAAGGAACAATAACATCAAAAAGCTGTCGTTACACCACCAGGAATTGATGAAGGCTAAATCTGTAATTGTCTGGTTTTGGTTTCAGCAAATGTTTCAGAAATGTTATTTGAGGTAATCAGAAGCAGGATCACATAATCTCATTGCCATTTCCAGTCACAGTGATCAATAACGGTATTGGGGCAGTCAATGTAGAATTTTCATTTTGAATTTGTATAGAAGAGAGAGAGAGAGAGAGAGAGAGAGAGAGAGAGAGGCCTTTTATTAAGACTTCTGATGTTTGTATTCTGTTTTTAAGATCAGAAACTTTTAATGACTACCACAACTTTTTTGCTTTAGTCCTTTACAATCAACATAGAAGCTTAAAGCAAAATATCTTTCCCAATGAGAAGGGAGATGATGCAAACATCCCACAGTAAATTGAAATTCTGATTTCTGAGGGAATCATGAAAAACAAGCTATATTCAATTTGAATAAGTACAAGAATTGAACTTGCTTAAAGGCAGACCAGATTTTGAGACCTGCCTTCAGTTGAAATTGGTTTGTCAAAATTTAAGTGAGAAAGAACCATAAATTAAATTTCCTCAGACTTGGTGCAGCCAGCAAAGTGTGCTAAACCTTATATCACAATTCTTATCATTACAATCAGAATTTAGATCTTCTGATTTTTCAAAGTCATTAAAGCTTCCACTTGAGTCTTCCTTAGCTCACAAAGAATCAAGAAACATGGTCGATAAGCCAAGTGTGAAACCAAGAAGGCTGATCTTCCAAGATTTTAAGTAGTCACAAACTCACAATGTGATAACAATATGCTCACACATGACATGATTTACTTTTAATTAGTTTCTTTGGAGACAGAGTAGACAGTAAACCTGAATTTCAAGCTCCAAGACAGCGAGTTCGCTTTTGAAGTTGACCAATGCATCCTCTGTAACGTAAAGCTATAGAAAAAAGATCACATATATAACGTGAGTCAAGGCTTTTCTTTTAAATTAATCTTATGAAAAAACTTTACAGCTTAAAAAGCTGTCGTTTCGAGTTGCAGAAATAAACTATGTGCATGGTTACGAAATGTAAAATATTTGAGGTATACTCTAACGTTAGAACATTAGATCGCTAGCATTTCACTCATAGTTTTGTCTATTCAAATTTTCATAATTAGAAGATAACACATTTTTCAACTAGACATGTAAACCATAACAGTAACAAACTTGAACAATCCATACATAGATTAACAGAATATAATTCAGCAATCAAATTCAGAAGCCTCTAGAACACTCATTATCTTATTTCTACGCTATTTTATTCAAAAAATCGTTTCTCATTGACTCACTTTGAAGCAAACAGTAATATACAAACCTGTCGTTTGAGATAACGGTTTTGTTGATTGGCTTCGCTTAACTTCTTAACAAGCTTTTGTCTTTCGGAATCAGTCAATAGTGACCTTAACTGTTCAAAAATCACAACAAACATGTTAGCTCATAGATATGTTGCCCTGATAGAATGTATAGGCTAGGTTAAATTAACCTCTTCACGGCTCAATGGTTGTGACAGAATCTTCTCCCGCGACTCCTCAGAATCATCCTCATTTTCACCATCACTATAAAAATTTTCCGAATTTAACGGGGGAGATTCCTCCACACTAAAAGCCATGGAATATGTTTTCATCCGAATCCGATACTTGCAAGTAGACGCCCGATTAGAATGAACTGAATTTTGGTAATTCGTTCTCGGATTCCAGACGGAAATATGACGTGGAAGTTTGTGGAAATTTTCAAAATCTGATGTCGTTAAATTAAGTGGAAAACACGACAGTTTATCAAGGCAACACCTATCAAGATCATAACACATAATACAAACGATGAATGGCTAATTCAATTTTAAATGTTAAATTCAGTTGAGTTTCAAATAATTAGCGGGAAAGTTTACCTTGCAGTACCAATCTCCATGATAAACGATCTCATTTGGAAGAGAAGGGATAACTCAAGTTCTATTCAGATTTGTTGTGGTTCAAAACTTGCTGAACTTTGAAATGACATTGTGCAAGTGACACTAAGGGTGAGAGCGAGGGATGAGATTTTTTGTGAGGCGATTAGGCGAAGCAGTGGTGATTTGTGCAACTTGACACGTGTCAGGAAATGTTGACAGGGCGGAGATGGATTCAAGAAAAACTGCGTAGTTAGCCCGTGATGTATTGGTTAAGTGAACGATGGAGGTTGAACCACGTGATGCAGTCTGTTTGATTGGGATTTCTAGTCAAGCAAAGCCCAAGGCTTTGTACAAATTCATGAGGCTAAATTTAAGAAGAAACGGGCCACCTAAATATTTCAAGCTTGGGATAAGTACATGCCTTTTATTTTACTTCTTGAACTACATGTTCAAATTTTGATGCAGGATTTAAAGGAATTCGTACCCCAATTCTGACTATTGGTGGGGTCTTGGAGACGTGAAATTAAAGTTTTATTGATCAACTCAGCTGATTGTTTTGTTTGGTTTGGTCCATTTATTATTTGTACTCAAGTCTTGACTTCAATTAAAGACTTGGTCAACCAAAGGCGGTGGGGGTCTTGGAGACGTGAAATTAAAGTTTTATTAATCAACTCAGCTGATTGTTTTGCTTGGTTTGGTCCATTTATTATTTGTACTCAAGTCTTGACTTCAATTAAAGACTGGGTGAACCAAAGGCTTCTAATATGAAATTGAAACAATTATAAGAATTGGTCTAACGATCAAGGAGGTTTGTTTATTTTATTAATTTTTTAGATTCAAATTATTTTAAGACCACCTATCATATTTGTGGCTTACCTTAAAATATTAAACTTATAGGATATTCAATGTGCATTGAGGATTAGTTGAAATATATGCAAGCTAATTGGGACATCTTAATCATCAAAATTTAATCACCATTGGGCGACCTGATGATAAAAGAGCAAAATAAGCTTTTATAAGCTCTTGAGTTGACCACTGAAACTCTTATCTGGTCAATAATTCTAAGACCTTAAGAGGTTAGTTGAGGTATCTATAAGCTGCCCAAACATTCTGGTGATAAAAAAAAAAAAAAAAAAAAACTAATTGCTTGAAATAAATTTCCCATTTAGTTTCCTTGGATGTGACTAGACCTGACAAAACGAGTTCGGACCCATGTGTCGACCCTAAACCCAGGAACAAAATATAGTGTGTGGGTCTTTAAATTTGACCCGTTTTATTTCGACCCATACTCGACCCAGCCCGTTTTTTTCAACGGGTAAGACGGGTTTACCTGCGGGTCCCTTTAAAAAAAAAAAAAAAAATCCTTTTTCAAGTTTTCATTCATCCCAGATTCCCAAATCATGAAACCCAAAGCCCCAACCTTTCTCTTAAACTCAGTCTCTCATCACTCATCAGCCTTCTCTCAAACTCAATCTCTCATCACTCATCAGCCTTCTCTCAAACTCAATCTCTCATCACTCATCAGCCTTCTCTCATCCCAAATCATGACTAAAATGGGTACTCCACGGTCGCCGGTGCTGCCCAAATCATGACTAAAATGGGTACTCCATGGTCGTCGGCACTGCTTCTCTTGTCTCCACTGTCCACTCTCTTGTCTCCGCTTCTCATCAGCCAGCGTCTGCACTCTGCAGTCTCCATTATCGCCGCATCAAGGCATGTGTATCATTATCACTCTCGTATTTTACTCTTTTGAATCTGATCATGATTTGTGCTAGTTTATAGGAAATGGTGATGATTTTGTTGTTTCCGTGATTCTTTTTTAGCTATATGTCTCTTATCTCTTGGATCTTTATATTCGCCGTTCATAACTTGATGTCTGATCAGATTGCACCACATCATAAATAATAATGTTCATTTGATGCTGATGGTCTTCATTAAAGACGATTTTGTTCAACATTAGCTTCAGATTGCATCTCTCTTCTATGTTTCTCTGTTTATCGAAATCTAAAAGAGCAAAATTGAGGCTCTGTAGTCTGTAGGTTGTATCATCAGGTAAATAACGCCTACAACAGCTAGCTCTCCTAAAGAGGCCATTTATTTTGTGTATTTTACTATACTTAAGAGTAAAGGAACTATTTTAAATTATTGCGGTTAGATTCTGTAATATTCAAAGACAGAGTGTTATTGTATGCTATTATTCTCTTGAGAATTGAGTTAGAATATTGAAAGATGATGTCTGCTACTGTTAGTGACAGAAAAATTTGATTGGGAAACATAATAATAATTAAACTCCATGAGAGGTGTTTGGATCATAACTGACAGTGGCATTGGAAAGTGATAATGTCATGCTTTGTAAAATATTTGTTCAATCCAAGACTATGCTTTTGATTATAATTAAATTTTGAATGATAATATAAACAGATGGATGGTGGCCGTGGGTGGGCATCTATTCTCTTCTATGCAATTTATTCATGTATAAATCTTGACATGTCCTTTTCTTATTTGGCTATGTTCTTGTTGATAGATTCAATCATTTACATAATACATATTGTTTTGTAGAAGATGATGTGAATGCTAATTCAGATGATGATCTTGATGTGCCATTAAGTAATATGGGGATTGCAGAATCAAGAGATTCTACCACCCCCATTGTGGGATGAACATTTGCTGGCTAAGAATTTTTTTTGTTGAACAATATCAAGTCAAGTTAAATTTATCTTAATGTATTTGTAATTTTGCATTTTATGTTATTGACTAAATGTGTTTGTTTATGTGTATTAGTGATTATATATTTGTTTATTTTGGTTGGTATTTATAATTTTGTATTTATGTTATTAACTTATTGTGTTTGTTTATGGATATTAGACTAATATGTATTTGTTTAGTTTGGTTAGTATTTGTTTATGTGAATTGAATTAAATTTAGAGTAGTTGATTGTGGGGGTGTAATAATAAAAAATTAAAATTGCATGAATTTTGGGGGTGTAACTGTCATAATTGAAAAATGTTGGGATGCAAAAAATTAAAACCTGGAGAGAGAAAAAACGGGCAGGGCCACCCCTACCCATATAGGGTAAGTGCGGGCTCAATATTTTGGACCCGTATAACTTGACCTATATTAGGCCCGCACATTTGTACCCTACCGTTTTGCCAGGTCTAGATATGACCGTACGTTAGCTGCATCTTGTATTATTTACAATCAAAGATTATAGGCATGGTGTAGTTACAATTAGTTGATCGTAAAAATTAATAGGATAAGCGTTTTAGTATGATCCCTGTGTTATTGGTGTAATAATTCATAATTTGACCATTAATCCCTGGAAATATTTTATTGTTAATATATAAAATAATAAAATGAAGAATACAGTTTTGATTTCGACTGCGAAATATACATCTGCGCGCCGCCAATCATGATGAGAAGCAATAGTAAACCAACTTGTTCAAGTTTGACTTCCACTGTAGTCTTTCAATTCTCCTTAAGAAACTACTTATCAACGTTTTATCTGTTCTCATTTTCTTCATTTTGTAGCTAACATATATTAATCTTTTTAATAAATAATATTACATGAACAAATTAGTTATACAAGCTGATATAATATTTAATAATTAAATAATTAAAAATTAAATAAAAATTAAATAAATTATACTAAAAGACGACACTTGTTTCAAGGAGTTGTTCTGACGGTCAAAGAAGTTTGCTTTATTTCTTGAGTTTTTAAGTTCAAATCTTGAAACCACCTATCACAATGTGATTTATTTGATCCTTTAGACTTATAAGGTGTTTAATAGATTTTGAAATTAGTTGAAGAGTGTTGCTAACTGGAACATCTCAATTGCCAAAAAGAAAAACAAAAAAAAGACTACACTTGTTATTAATGAATGGATTGATATATATCTTGTGCTTCTTATTTTGTTAGAATTTAAAAAAGAAAAAAAAGGCTTTTTTAGTAATTAATTGAATGGATATTTCAATTGAATTTTAAAAATATGTTTGGTAGCCAAATTCTTCATTATTTTAATTGCTCAAGTCAGTTTCTCTTTGTCACATGACTCATATCTGCCCCGTAGTTGACAAAAAGATCCTAAAATGAATTTAATATATATGCATTATTCACAATTAAAAATAATTAAAGTCAATTCATAAAATAATCAAAGGGATTCTTTCTGTTATTTAACATATTTAAGGAAATGTCGCTTTATATTACTTCATCATCTTCCATTCTTCCTGTTATTTAAATCTTTTATACTTTCCTGAGTTGAAATTTCAGATCATACCGACCTTGAAGAGAGTTTGCATAGTGAATAAGGAAATCATGCACGGAGTTTGTGGGTCTTGGCCAATTGTCTTCCTAAGTGCAAAAATTAACAATTTTTGTTTATCCAAAACAAATTTTATATTTTCAGTGTTACGTGTATGTTAAACTGAAAGGTTATAAACTAATTCAGACAAACTCTTTACCATTTTTAAGCTTTCTTTTCCTTCCAGTCAGGCTCAGGGGACAGCTAATATTAAGAATTTTGTGTAAATAATATCACTATCTAATATTTAATATGGTGGGTTTTAGGTTGGATAAATTGGTCATACCTACCCAAAATCATTCAATTCAAAGTATGAGATAATGGCATTTACCCTCTGGAGTTTGGATCTAATATTTCAGATCTTGCAATAGGATAGGCCCCCTTATTCTAATAGATGTGAACCCATGTATAGAAAGAACGAGATATTTACTTGTATACATAAAAGTAGTCTTAATTTAGTAGTTTTTACGGAAAAAATGTTATTTTAGAGTTATGATTTGATTAATGATTGTTAGTTTAAAGGAATCAATTTCTGTTAGGGATTAGGTAGCTAAAATCTTTGGATATTGTGCTTGAAATTTAAGATTTTACTCAATTTCATTAACCTTTCTAATAATTGGCCAAGACATTAGGAAACATTCATGAGCAACGATTATTGATTGTTTTTAAAAGAAGCAAAAAATACTGTTAGATGGGTTTCTAAATGGATAGGGTAATAACTCATTGCCTCATTGAGTTGATAAAAAAATTAAAATTTGACCCATCAATCAAATTACGTTGCCGGTTTGCGCGGTTGAACCTTCAAAAGGCAAGTCAAGTATTTACTTCCAAACTCTGGAGCCGGCCAGCTGTTGCTGTTGAAGTCTTCTCCTAGTCAACGTTGACGCTCTCGCGAACACCATAAGCAGCCAATCCGCTGCCGCCCGCTCAACCACGCAGAAACATCCCCACCCTTTTGCCCATACATTACCCAGTCGCCTGCTCAATGTCCTAATTCACATTTAGCGTTTTACAGAAAAAGGGAATTTTGATAAATAAATACATTTTCAATTTTCAATTTAATATATTTTTTTCCTTGTTGTAGACTTTTGTCTTTTGGGTGTATATAAATAGGACAATTGTATTGGCCTGGTCATCAGAAAGACATTTTTATTATTCATTACCCACTTGACAACTTAAAGTCTTACGAACTCCATCAAAACTAGATTTTCTCACCTTTGAAAGCTTATTTCCAATGGAGAATTTGATGGGCTTGCTCAGAATTCATGTGACCAAAGGGGTGAATCTTGCGATCAGAGATGTCAGGAGCAGTGATCCTTATGTTATTATCAGAATGGGAAGACAGGTAATTTCTTGTTTCTTGTGTTTTTTGATATGTTTTGTTGATTCTTGTTGCAGTTTGGTTTCTGGGTATGTTGATCTTTGATGGATTTTATAGTTTGATGGTGTTCAGTTGCTTACTGCTCTCTTTATTGACTTTTGTGTTGTATTTGTAAATGATAATCCGAAAGAGCTCATTCTTTAATATGAAAATCATCTTATGTTTAGTATCTTTTGATGATTAGATTGAAACATCTATAATGATTTGTACGAATCACTAGTGTTTTTCTTCTTCAAAATGATTAACTGTTTCCAGAGCTCTTTGGCCTCGAATTCTATCTCAAAACTATGTTGACCGAAGTCTTTTTTTTCCCCCAAGATGATAACTTTTTGCTTAAATTTTGTGTTTTCAGAGCTATGCTAGCTATCCAAGAAATACCCAGAAAATAGCATCATATCTATAACAAACTTGTAGAAATAATTTTTTTCTTGGATTTAAGTATTAACTTTGTGGGGTTGTCTGTCAGCTTATCAACTAGTATTTTGACTTTTTTTGTTTTTTTAATTGATTAACTGTGGACCACATGATGATAAACGCTATGTAGCATTAACACATTTTACTGAATGTTAAAGTAAAAAAGATAAAGGAAGAAAACAAGTGAAAAAAGGAAACCTCCACGTTACTTATTTCAACTGAATGTTTCAAAATTGTCCGATACAGAAGTTGAAGACCCGTGTTGTGAAGCAGAATGTCAATCCTGAGTGGGATGAAGATTTGACCCTATCTATTGCAGACCCTCATCTCCCAATCCAGCTTGTAAGTATTGGAATTCCCACTCGAATATTGTTATAATAACAGAAAAGAAATGAAATTATGATGTGGTTTATTGCTTTTCAACCATGGTTCTCTGCTTCTCTTGGCTTGATGGAAATTTATAGTCATTGTTGAGAAGTTGATGGGGTTTCTAGTATATTCCTGCTGTTCACCAATGAGATAGGAATAATAAGTAAATCATACTTTAAATCATGCATTAATAATACAAGAAAATGTAGCCCAGGATCTTGGAATCAAGCTACTTAATACGCATTATCAAATTTTGCTAGTGGAAGATTGCATTCAAATTTTGAACACTTTTAAGCTGATTCAAGGTTTGGCCTAAATTCTTGGCAATATAGATTTTGCTGTGGAGTCCCATTAAAAGATGTGAGTGATGAAAACTTAATATATTGCATATGTTAAGGAGACCATTCGACCCAGTTAATGTTTCTTTTTGCTTAATTTGTGAATTTCATTTTTCTCATACGAGAACAAAATGTAGTTAACTTTATGAAGACACCTCTGAGAACATTTCTAAAATTTATTCTTCTGAATTGTTGAACCACTGTTCTCGTTCATTATTAAATGCAGTCAGTGTATGACAGAGACACATTCAGTCCAGATGACAAAATGGGGGATGCAGAATTTTACATCACCGACTATTTACAAGCTCTAAGGATGCGTTTGGAAGGCCTCCCAAGTGGAACCATAATCACAAAAGTTCAGCCAAGCAGGGAAAACTGCATAGCTGAAGAGAGTTGCATTGTCTGGGCTGATGGTAAGGTTGTTCAAAACATGGTTCTTAGACTGCGAAATGTTGAGCGTGGCGAACTAGAAATCCAGTTGCAGTGGATTGATATACCTGGTTCCAGGGGTTTGTAATTCACATAAACTCTCCGTTTGATATAAAGCTTAGTGTATATAGAAGGTTTTGAGCAATGCAAGTTTCGAACTGGTTTTTAGATGCTAAAACCCAAATATCTTATCTGTGAAACTAGTATCCATTGAACATTATGGAACATGGTTTTATTATTTTTATTTCCTTTGCCTTTCTTTTGATAAATAAAAGGCTTTCTTATTATTGATCAAGAAAAATGCTATATCCACCGAAAAAATTGCACCGAAAAATTGTATCGAAACAGGTGGAGCTTCTTTTCTCTGCCAGGTGGAGCTTTCGCACAACCGATGTATAATTTGTACATAAATAGCATGCCAGATTCTTTACTAGTTTTTAGAAAAAAGAAAAAAAAAAAAGAAAAAGGAAAAGTCAAAAAGAGTTGGCGCCATGTTCCCAGCCAAAAGAAAAAAGAGTTAATTAAGTATGGACGCCCGTCCATTAAATATGGACAGTCGTCCATACTTAATGGATCGGCTGTTCATTCTTTATGGACGGGCATCCATTAGAGTAGGGACGTCCGTCCATACCTTATGGACGGGCGTCCATTCTAGATTTTTTTTTTCCATACTTAATGGACGGTCATTCATTCCTTAAGGACGGGCGTCTATTAGAGTAGGGACGCCCATCCATTCCTTATGGACGGGCGTCCATTCCAGATTTTTTTTAAAAATTTTTATATTTTAAAAAAAATAATAACGTTAAATGCTTGAATGGTTTAAGTCAAGAGACACGTAGGCCGGTACAAAATTTCTGTGTAAAAACCCTGGTGTCTGTAGCATTGTTGATTAATCAATGACTTTGCAATGTCCTTTACTTTCAGAGCGTGCTTAATGCAAAGACTGGTAATCATATGATAATGTATACAATGACAAAAGATAATTGATCAAGAGATGAGGAACTGTGATGGATTACGCAAAACTAGCTTGAACATTGCATTGCAACAGAACTGTGGTGTATTGTCTAGTAGAATTCTACTTGAAAGGCGAACTAAAGGTATCTATCGTTCCTTCCAGTTATACTTGTCTATGACAGAAAAATGGATAAGTAATGGCTCTAAAAAATGGAAATTGAAGCTTTCTAAACGAGGTTCTATGGGCAATTACCGCTATGTATACAACGTTGAACAAGATTATGTTAGCCTCCCAATATAATTTTTCATGCATTAACTTTGGCAGAATATAGAATGATTTATATCGTGTTGGAGGATCCGTTTTTCATAAAGTCTAATGCCGCCCCTACCCGTGACCATCTAAATATAAACAGACTCGAACATTCTTTAACTGTGCACTTACTAATTTAAAACTCTATTATGTTTTTATTTTTCTGAGCCTTCTAAAATTATACATTATATTGATGAGATTGGAAAGTGTGTAGTTGTAAAGATAGTCTGACATGCTAAAAGTTATTTGGAAGGCCATTTTTAGACAACAGTAATTCAATCTCGCTGGTGCTTGTGTTTGATGAGTGTCTTCAAATGGGCAATCAAATTCCTATCCAGTCATGGGCTACTTGGCCCTTGTCATTACCCAGTATGTAAAATGAGTAGGCCTAACCAAACGTTAAATGATCCAGTCTAATTACAGTCGGCCTAAATACTAACCTAATGGGGTATACCAGGTTGGATCGGTCCGCAAGGCCACAGCTGCAGATCAATATTTTTCTTTCAAGTTTCGTACACAAAAAATAATATTTAGCTCCCAATTTTTTGTTTTAACAACCCTTATTTAGGGTTTTTTTTTTTTTTTTTTTTGGCAAATATAATTTATAGCTATAGTTCAATAAGAACATTAACCATACAATTTCACGGAGCAGTAACAAGTAAAACAATCCTAAAGAAAACAAAAATTACTGGTGCAATGTGTCATGACATCTGATAGCATCTCACAATTATACATAAAAGAGTAAATGACTTTTTCCCACCCAAGATTTGGTCTAATAACACTTTTCCACCCGTCAAGTTTCTAAATGCCACTCTTCCTACCTGTCCATTTCTCATTCACCACCTTTGATTTCGGCGATCGGAAAAACAATCACACACAACCACAAACACTTCTAAACCAACTTCACTAGTCGATTTCCAACAAAACAACTCCAAACAATTACAACCAAATCATCAATCAAGCAAAAAACCCTAAGAAAGGAACCGATGATCAACGACATTCGGCGGGCAAACAGGGTTGGGTTTGTTGGGGGGTTTTGGAGAGAAAGTGCCGGTGGTGTGTTTGGTGGTGTCGGGGTTGATTTCTGATGATGGGATCAATTGAAAAAACTTGGGGCCCGTGAAACAAACCAAGCACAATGACTGGCAAACGACAGGTTAAACAAATGTGGAGTGGTTGGGGTTTTGAGGAGGGAGGTGAGGGGAGTATTTTGGTGGAGTCGAGGGAGGTCGACGACACCAAAAATAGGCCAATTTTGCCTAGATCGGCGGCGAGAGGGAGTGGGTTTTTTTTGGTCGAAAATGGCTTAATTCCGACGGACAATTAGGCTGGTATAAGGCTAAAAGGATGAAGAAGTGAAGATTTTTGTTAGTTTTGGTGAGAAAACCAGTTGAAATCGATTTGAATAGGCTGGCGGTGACACTGTAGCAATTTGACAGGATTTAGGGTTTTTAGAGTAATACTAGCCTTACAAAGAGGCATACAAAGAGTCATACAAAGAGTCAAATCCAGCTCTTAAAAGAAGAGAAAAAGAGAGAGAGAAAGAGGCAATCATGAATTTCAATGGCTGGATTTGACTCTTTATATGACTCTTTGTATGTCTCTTTATAAGGCTAATATTAATCAGGTTTTTATATGGGGTGGCAATATTGTAGCATTTGATAGGATTTAGGGTTTTATATAGGGGATAAAATGATATAAATACCTCAGGACTATTTTTTGAATTTATTATTATGCCATTCTTCAATTAAACTTAATAGACAAATCTTAAAATGATGGTAAAGCTATATTTTAGAACTTTTTAATTGAGAAAGTATCATTAGGCCAAACCGTGGGTGAAAAAAAGTCGTTTACATAAAATTATGAGCATCGCGTGTCACAAACAACTAAGAAAAGACAAAACTTGGGAACAGTTTTGAACAATCAAGAACCCAAAAGATATGTTCTGAAAACCAGATCGGACAATGACCCGTTCAAGGGTCCGTTTTTCGGTTTGATCGGTTGGATCGATCGATTGGACCATAATTTATAAAATTATTTTTAGCCCTTGAAGGTTTGAAATTCATCAAAAACACCCCTATATACTCCCCTAAGGTTTGAAATCTATCTAAAACACCCTTGTCACTTGAAGATTCTGGTGAGTGGTGGCGGCAACGACGATCGATGACCAATCGAACATGGAATCTTGGGGCTTTTGATGTGTAGGTGCCGACGACTCTGATGGTGGTGCTAGGGAGTTCCATCGTCGTCGGAACTTCCCGGAATCAACAAAAGAAATCCAACGTCGTGTGAACTTTAGGTGGACAGCGATCGACGTAGACTGGACGACGGCGACTGAAAATGGATGGTTTTGATCGTGGAGATACCGTCAGTCGAATAGGGGTGTTTTCTCCATTGAAAGATGTCGGAATCCGACGGGGTTTAGTTGCGATTGGACCGCGACTTGACATTATTCCGGAGGTCCAACCGCGGTCCAATCTAGTTTAAATCAAAATAGTGGTTTTATATATATACTGGACCAGATTTGCCGCAGGTTGCCGGTCAAACCGGTCCGAACGGATGGTCCCGTCCGGTTTTCAGAACATTACCCAAAAGGAAAGTAAGACATTAAGGCCTGAAGGGGCAGAACCAAAATGTTAGCTAGTGTTGCGAAATACAGGATAGTTAGCTAGTGTTGCGAAATACAGGATAATGTTAAAATGATAAGTCCAAACCGATTGCGCTGCGAGAAGCTGTAAATAACTGCAACTATATATGAAACTGATGAAATTGCTTTTCCGATACTTCACTCCGAAATTTCTAGGCGTTACAATATTCCTCTTTCCAATAAGTATTTTGTTGAAAAACAAAATATTGCTAAGCTCTTATGAAAAAAGTGAGTTCATTCAAATTTTTATTTTTTAAGAAATTCTTTAGGAATGAATTATATTTTTTCTTTTTTTTAGTCATAAAAAATTCATTCCATGAAAAAATTTCTGTAAATAATTTATATCATTGTAGATATAAATGGAAAAAAAATATTTTGTAGGTGTATAGTTACACATCTTCAGAATTTTGACAAACCTAACTTGTTTGTATTAATCATAAATAAATAAAAAAAAATTAAATAACGATTACATTTATACCATATTTATTACATCATGATGTGACACATATCATTACCACATAAATTTTTAATTATTTATAATTTTTAATATTATAATAAAATTTATGTGGTTATGACATATACCACATCATGATATAATAAAAATAACGTAAAAAAGTGTTATAAATATACATTATTCAAAAAAATTTCTTTCTTTCTTTATACACTCACAATCTAATAATACAAATTTTCACTTACAACGTTACCATAATATATCACAATTTAGCAGATAAGATAACGAGCAATTGCCAAATTCATTGTTTTAAATTTTTTTCTCAAACATATAGACAGTCAATCATGTCTTTTGTCCATTCAAGACATCAAATCAAATCATTAATCAATGGAACAAGACAACATGTGCCAGTTATGATGCTTTTAATTTGTTTCTCTTGAACAATCTGTGATGATTTGAGCACCAAAAAGTATTCTAAAGTGCAAGAAGAAACAGCAGGAAGCAGCTAGCAAGCACATGGGTAATGGAAATTATTGGGAGACATGAGAATCAGGGAACCCAAGCATTCCCAGTAGCTCACCAAATTCTTATCTTATCAGAATGAATTATTACATGAAATGAAAAATAATAACGATATATGTTGTTTCCACAAACCATGCCTGCTTTGATTTATATATGGCCCTCGATATCAATTAAACACTTTGAAATTAAAGGGTTTAGATTTGGTTACATGATCATTAATATTAATTTGTAAGATGGGGTGCTGCGCAATTATTGGCATTTGATTATTTCAAACCTGATGTGAAAATGATAAAATGCTCAGTTCTTTTTTTTTATTTCTTCAGAGCGTGCTTAATGCAAAGACTGGTAATCATATGATAA